TCATGAATTTGAACCTATGTTGTTATATTTGAAGAAAGATTAATTTTGGGATAATTTACATATTTTTCTTTTGAGCATCGATCATGAATTTGATTTTTTGAGTTACTTAATATGTTGGATATGTTTATCTTGTAACACAACTCATATTCAACCAACAAATTTACAATCTAGCTTTCCTTACCTGAAAATTGGCTCTAAAAGCCAAGAATCTGAGAGGAAGAAGAAATATCCTCCAAAGCTTGATTCTTGAACTTCAATCCTCCAAAAACAAGCTTTCTAGTCCAGAGTCCTTCTCTCTAGAACTTCTCTCTAAAACCTCACTTTCTCATCAACTGCCCATAGGTCCTATTTATAGAAAATCTAAAGTGGCCAAAACGGCCCGTTTCGAATCCGGAACGGCCCGTTCTGGGCTCCTTCATCATGTGTAAAATTCACATGCAGAACGGCCCGTTCTGAAACCAGAACAGCCCGTTCTGAAACCAGAACAGCCCGCTCTAGGACTTATCCAGAATGGCCTGTACTCCATCCAGAATGACCTGTTCTCAATTACGATTTACAGGTCAATGCTTGATTCTTGAACTTCAATCCTCCAAAAACAAGCTTTCTAGTCCAGAGTCCTTCTCTCTAGAACTTCTCTCTAAAACCTCACTTTCTCATCAACTGCCCATAGGTCCTATTTATAGAAAATCTAAAGTGGCCAAAACGGCCCGTTTCGAATCCGGAACGGCCCGTTCTGGGCTCCTTCATCATGTGTAAAATTCACATGCAGAACGGCCCGTTCTGAAACCAGAACAGCCCGTTCTGAAACCAGAACAGCCCGCTCTAGGACTTATCCAGAATGGCCTGTACTCCATCCAGAATGACCTGTTCTCAATTACGATTTACAGGTCAATTTAGTAATTTGAAACGGTCCGTTCCAGATTAGGAACGACCCGTTCTAGGCTACTAAATCACCTATATTGGACTTTTGGGCCTTCTGAAATAACATACTACGTTACAAGGTAGACATGCATGCTGCAAATTTTATTTTATCAAAAATTAACTTTTTTAATATATTATATTATATGTAAGCATTAATACATATATATATATATATATATATTTTCATGATGGAGATGGGATGTAAATGAGATGCATGTTGTAGTTAAGTTGTGAAGTTGTTTACAAGTTGTGTGTTGATCTATGATATTGTTGAAGCATGTTGAAATTAAGTTGATAAAGTTGCTATAAGTTATGTGAAGTACATGATGATAATATTGTGAGTTGTGAGAAGCATGACGTGAAGTGTGTAAATGTGTTGACATTTATATAGATGTTATTAGTAGACTGTGTTGTTAAGTTATTAGAGGAGAGTTGTATGTTGTGCCATGTGTTGAAAAAATATTACCACTTCAATCCTCCAAAAACAAGCTTTCTAGTCCAGAGTCCTTCTCTCTAGAACTTCTCTCTAAAACCTCACTTTCTCATCAACTGCCCATAGGTCCTATTTATAGAAAATCTAAAGTGGCCAAAACGGCCCGTTTCGAATCCGGAACGGCCCGTTCTGGGCTCCTTCATCATGTGTAAAATTCACATGCAGAACGGCCCGTTCTGAAACCAGAACAGCCCGTTCTGAAACCAGAACAGCCCGCTCTAGGACTTATCCAGAATGGCCTGTACTCCATCCAGAATGACCTGTTCTCAATTACGAAATTAAATAACAATATAATAGTTATTATTAATTTTCAATGATTAATATGGTTAGCGACAATTTAAAATAATAATTTGATAAATACCTAAAATATATATATTATTATTTATCAATTTCTAATAAAAACGCGCTTTTAAAATAATTCCAAATATATTT